AACCCTGTGTGTGTTCATTTTGACTCTTCACGCTTACAAATATAAATAGGGAACATAATTCTCATGGTGTTGGGCATTTGGGTCACAGTAGCCCAGAATAAATCAAAAGGTAAGCAGGGCTATGGCAATATTACTGCTTATTGTAAAAAGCTGTTTGATTGTACCATAAAACACAATAATCTATATGGTGTCAGTGTTTGTGATTTGTGTAATAATGTATTTAATCTTCTCACCAATGTATGGAAACAATAAAAAAGGAAAATATTGGGAAGTACAGATATAAGTGTAGATTAAATTAATCAAGGAATAAAATTATACAATGCAACTAGTAAGAATACATTTAGAATATTGTGGAAAAAATGTATATATCATGTTACAAAAATAATACTGCTCTTCTAAATTCAGAACTTTAAAAGAGTAACAGCAATCCTGGGTTTATAGGACTGTGGTTTTGACAGGCTAAAACAGCTAAGCCATTTTAGTCTTGAACAGTGAATGCTATGAGGGGACTTGTTTTGCATATTCTCAAGGGCACTGACACAGTCAACCTACTGGACAGTAAAACACTAACCAAAACGTAGAAATTGAAACTATGTGGAGGTGCACGTAGAGACTCTGTGTCCCTTTTTTAGAGAAAAAAGGGGTTGTGGGAGTGTGGAGAAAGCTATCCAGCCATGCTGTTGAAGCAGTTACCTTGGTTGCTTGCAAGAAATAGCTACTGTATGTGAAATCCTCTGAACATTTAGCTACTAGTGCCAAATAAGATGATGATGGGCTGATTGGCCTGTCCACATTTGTGAGTATTTCGTAAACCTATGTCCCATTACACTGGGTGCATTTTCCCTGTTTTTGTAAAGAGCTTCACATCTCACCTTAGGTGCTGCTGCTAATACCCCAGCTTCTTTCAAGAAATAGCTGGATGCGATCCTGGGTTCAGTTAATAGCAACCAAGCCAGCAACCAAACCAGCTCTATGGAGTGAATGGTCTCATGTCATTGTTAACCTTTCTTGTATTCTAAATTAGTGCCAACAGCCTGCCATCACTATATCCTTGTATTTCCTCTTTCAGAAAGGATCCTTCAATTCTCATTTTTAATACAACAGCAAAATTGTATAAGTTTAGTGGGATTAGTATGTTGTAGCACTCAATGTATTGTCACTAAAGGGTACTGTACTGTACATCTACAGATCTGCAAGTAGATTCTCTAGTGGAATTTTTAAATCCTATGAATGTATTTCTGTTCCATAAGACCCAGAGAATATTGTTAGATAACTGAAAAAATCCTTAGTGAAAGTGTTCACATGTTCTTCTTATTGTCAGTTATTAGGTATATGGTTTATTTTCTTAGTAAAGATCCTTTTGTTATGAATCTGTCACATAGTGGTGAGCCAGGGCTCAACTCACCATAGCAATCCTGCATTCCTATGTGGGATTCTGATCAGCCCATTCCCAGCTAAACTTGAGCCATCTGTCAGTCTTCATCATTAGTCTTGGTTTAATCACTTAATTGAGGTTAATTAAATCTTTTCTAGGTTTCATTCAGTGCTGTGACATTGAGTCTGTTTACCAGCTCTCAGCACTTTAGTCTGTCTGGTCAGCTCCTCCTGTATTCCAGTTTTTTTTCCTGCTTTCTCAAACACGTCTACAGACCTTCCTCTTGGCCTGACCTTGTCTTCTGATTGTCTGTTATTGAACTCAGCTTGGACTTTTCACCAAAAGCCTGTTTAATCCTCTAATAATTCTCACTGCGCTTGCAGTGCCAGTACTGTCTGCTATCTGCATTTTTACATCCCCTGACCCTGCCACTGTCCATGCTGGACAATCTGAGCTCCACTTGTGCCAGCTGCCACCAGCGCTGCCTGCTTCATTTTCCACGTGTTCTTCAATTTTCTCTCATTCATCCTAGCTCTCGCATATGGATTCCTCAGCCTGATTACTGACGCGACTCAAACTAAGTAAGAAGCCACATCATTACAGAATCTGATTCATTCCAGGCCCTTACAGTAACACTAATGTAACTTAACACTACTGCACAGCGACAATGACTTTGTGGTAGAGCTGATAATATTTACTTATGAATCTTAGTTTCTGTTTTTCTTCTAAAATTTCAAAATTAAAGACATTTGATCAAGGGTGGTAATTGGATTCTTGATTAGCTTCCAACAAAATGTTGTTTGACATGTGAAATGCATTTCAAAAGCCAGTTTCATACCAGATTAAGAGCTGATTAATAATATTGGCATGAGGGTATAGTGTTCAGAGAGGAAATGTTAACTGATCATTTAATAAAAATTGAAAATTTTGATTTCAAAATTAACATTTTGAAATTCTTTACGTTTTATTTGAGCGTTGGAGTATGGTATAATGGAATTCTGGTTGCTATGATTTATCTTAAGCATTTAATTTTTTTTCTGTTAAGTGACTTCCTCCTAATATCAATCTGAAAACACAATGGCATCAGTGTTGATTTTGATTATATGTGTTGTATGTGCTTGGTTTAATTTTTTTCTTTAAGATCTGGAATGCTGTATGCTGTTCTTTATTTCCATTTTACATGCATTAATATTGTGGTGCTCTTATGTGCTCCTAGATTTGCTCTTCAGGGCAAATTTGTTGGAACTTATCATTTGAAATTCAACATCGTCTGATATCACTAGTCTATAACACATTTTTACAAGAAATTGATATTTAACAATTTTGTATGTTGTCTGGCTATAATAATCACCCTGGTTGCATTTTATGCAATGCACACAAGGTTTTATTAGAATTTTGTATCTGTAATATACTGTAAGATTGCTCTATCAGGCACATAGGGGCCATAAACACTATTAATTGTAGCTATTAGTCTCCTAATTAATAGTGGGTTAATGTGCTAGTGAAATTATAAAAGCATGCTAATTAGTTTGAAGGCTAAATGGAAATGGTCTACATTTAAAATTTTTGTTTTGCTTTGAAAAGGGAAAAAAACACTTTATTTAAAGCTATTTGGTGTTTATCCTACAGTACATTCTTTTGGGTGCCTGTATCATGAAAGACAGTTGGAAAATACAGTTACTAAACTTAAGAACCTGAGAAAGTCTAAAAATGAGTGGAGCCCATTTGGTCCATCATGTTTATTTGGTTGCAACAATCTCGAACATCTCAATTGATTTCCAACAATCTCAAATGATCTCAGATGAACATGAATGATCCCAGACAATTGCAAATGATCCCTAATGAGACTCAAGGATCTCTGCAGTCGTTTCTTGAAGGAAACTCACTTATCAGCTTGTTCCTGGTTCCAGACTCATTGAGACCTTGGTGTAAAGTACTAAATGTACCCCCAGTTTCAGGTTTAGTTTCCATTTGTAGATTGAAATGAATTTCAGGCTTCCAAGCTGCAGTGATTAGGAAACTCCATATGTACTGCATATACATACAGACAAAGACAACTGGATAAAAGCTTTTCTAGTAGATTAAGGCCAATAAAACATCTTTAAATCTTTGAAATCAAATGATTCCTTATCTTTTGCAGGGTAAAATTGAAGTAGTACTGAAGTATCCTGGAAGATATCAGAGGCATCTGACCTGCTTGTAGCTAAGGACTAGACTAGATATGTCATATTTATGCTCCCTCTGTGATAGCTGCTCGTGCTGAATTAAACAGCATCTTGTTAAAATTCATGTACAATCAAGTGCTTCTCACTTGAGAAATGATTTGCTATTACCGTGCTCCTTAATAGTACATGGGGATTTTACATACAGGAATGGCAGAGCTCGCACTTGCTTCGGTGGTCTGCAGGCATTTGATGTCTGAGAATATTACTTGTGGGCGATGGATTGAAATCAGCCTTGATGTCTTTGTTACTTTACCTCCTAAATTAGAAATTAGAAATTAGACACGGCAAAAAGAAACCAACAAAGATGATGCACCGCTCTGCCAGAGCAGGGAATGGATTACAAAAAACATCCCATTCTTTTCATTGTGGAGTAGGAGGCATGTTAAAAGTCAACTACAGTAGGTAGTAGAATTACAGTCTGAAACAACCTTCATGGAATTCGATGGCAGCAAATAAAATGACTGCTCAGTGTCCCCCCAAAATGTTGGTACTGTACACATCCTTACAAAGAATAAATAATTAACTTTATTAACAAGGTTATTGTTTGGAGTACAGTACATAGTTTACAGGCATTGCTTATCCAAGTACAGGGCAGTAGTTGATATTGACCTGGATTCCATAAAGGGGAAGTGCACAGCTGGCCAAATATCAGAGTTGAGTGGGCTTCAGCTCATGTTACTTTTACTGTAAGGCATGGTAAAACCCATAGTATTTATAAATCCAAACTGGGTTCACTAAAAATCTTTTTTAGTTAAAAACTCCTTTAAAAAGGTAGAGGACCACGCATATGTTTGTCCAGAATGTAAAATTGTGTGAAGTATTGAATACTTTCATGCTGAGTCCCACTGTTCCAATAGGAGAGTTAGCATTGATTGGGAAAAGTGATGTGGTTTTCAGAGACAACACTGCAAACTGAGAGCTGTCCAGCAATTCACAAGGGGCAGTGTTGGCTGTCTTAAGCCTTTCCAGCTCTGGCTGTGCTCTAATTGAACTCCATGACTTGGGGAATTATGGTTGCAGTCAGCTAATGACATTCCCTAGATGTTCATGCTCCTCTTTTCTTTTGCATATCGACAGCACGAATAGCAGCAGCAACAGAATCGCAATGCTCAGCAGTAGCATTTACTGAAGAGATTGTTAGTTTAAGACCTTTCAGTAAATGTGCATTCGCAGATCAAAAAAAGGCTTGAGCCTTTGAAATCCTGCTGCCTCTGTTGAGAGTGAAGCAATCTGGGTTTGAGACAGTTGTTCCACTGCCTCCGGTAAAGTAAGTCATTGATAAAAGAAAAATGCCTGTGTTCTTTATCATCCTGATATGTGACTGAGACAGGATACTTTAGTTTTGGCTTTCTGCTGGCTGTGAACACTTACAGTTGTACTCTTCTTGTCTGTATCTTTAGCTCTGGATGCCACGAAAGACCCCTGCCTGAAAGTGAAATGCCCCCCACACAAAGTGTGTGTAAGCCATGACTACCAGACGGCCATCTGCATCAACCATAAGCAACTCATGCACAGGTAGGTGTCAGCTAAGCAAATAAACCACTCATATTTAGGGAAACCAGATTTTCAGATCTGAAACTGGGACAAAGATGGATACTAACTGAGTTTGATTGTGTAGGTTTTAGGGTTGCAACATTCCAACTACATGGGAGGGGTTGTCCTCATAGAAGTATTTTCACTTTTTTATGCAGAAAAACACAAAATGTATCACAAATCTCTCAAATAAACTGACAATGAATTTGGGGTTCAAATTTTTAGAATACTCTTTTTATAAAATTTACAGTACATGAAATATTTCCCCTTTTCAACTGACATATATTTCCTTGATGCTTTGTTTTTTTGATCATGCGTTAAGGTAATAAATGTTTTTTTTATTCATTGCGTAATTCCTGGCATATTGATATGCTCTACAATTGATCTTGTCTGATGGAGAGAGACACTTTCAAGCTAGAGACTTATGCATTAAGTTTGGTTTTAGGCTGCCAAACGTTATCAAAATGCATACTTAATTAAGCTTACACACAGTGTGACTAAGCATGAATGTAAATGCTGGTAGGCTTTTTCTTATTTGTTTGATTTATGGTAGAGAGGACTTGGATCATGTATTCTGGCCAGTTGCAAATAAGTCAACTGTACCATTTTTCTAATGGACAATAAAAAATGGCATGTAATCTTAGTGGCAATTTTCCAAAATGCCTCTTTTATTAATATTTAAATATGTTACATTACATTTTGTACCATTCCTTGTTGGATATACTAAGTAAATAAATATGACATTTATAAATATACAACCATGAAATTGTACATTTAGTACAAATTGAATTCATCTAAAATTGACCAAAGTGCTTTAGTTGCCATAGAAAAAGACTATTTATCTAAATGTGTCTTCTAACAGACTTCGTGTATAATGCTACTATTCAGTGATTTGTTTAATGCTCTGTTTTTGCAAATAAGGTTGATTCCCTTGGGAATGAAGGTACAATCTGCATCTGTTTGCAGTGATGTGCATTGCTGTATGAAGTGGTGAAGTTGTTTCCTTGTGCCTATCACTACTTGTCATATCGTGTTACTCAACATGAACCTTGTAAATCATACAACTTCAGGGGTTGTATTTCTTTTCTAAATAGAAGATGCACAAAAACACCTAATAAAGAATCCAATGTTAAACTGTGAAGACAGTTATGAAAGGAAATGTATTCACCTGTGATTCTAAGGTTAAAAAAAACTTGTTTTATGAAAGTGATAGAAGCAGACATTTTAGTCCGGGTTAGTTAACAGAATCTCAGCTACCTTAAAATTGTAAAGCACTGAGTACTGTTCTTTACAATACTGTGCTTTAAGTAACAAACCAAAAAACAGTAAAACCAAATTTGTATTATAACAAATACTTGTGAAACCCTCAAGAAAACAGAAACACTAAACCATTTCTTTCCTCCTTTGATCAATAATCACTGATTATAATCCAGGCACACTCTACTTTGCCACAGTGATATTACGCTGTCTATTGACTTTTAACCAGGCTCAGGTATTCTCACAGGCAAACAGCACACTAGGCCCTGAGATTTCCTGGCACATCCTGCCTGGATTGTATGAGTGCTAACAAGGTGGTTTTCCTTTCCCATTAGCTTGTTTGATCTTGAATGCATTGTCCACGTGTTCAATCCATGTAATGTGGCAGGGCTTTCCCAAAGCTAATTAGCCTGCAAAAACTGGCTTCTCATTACCAAGCACTTTGCTACACAGAGTATTCCCAAGATGGCTCTGCTTTTTCCCACTGAATGGCCTATAGTGTGCAGAATGGTGCATTGGCATGTTATAATATAAAGCTATATGAAATGTAGAAATTGAGACTGGGGAACAGACACTGTTGAGAGGGCCTAAAGACCCCATTCTGTTCAAAATAATGACTTAACGTTTAAAAGCATCAAGAACAACGCAAAGTTAGAATGTAACTGGAATACAGTGCGTTAAAACATTCCAACTTGTGCAATATGTGAAAAAACAACACTGAAAATGACCCACCTTGATTGCAATTCCAATACTGAAGTGCGTTTATAGGAATGCTGTACTCAGTATTATTGTGGGATTTAAATAACTCAAGTAATAGTCCTATTGAACCTTGTTACCACTTAATGATCTCCACAAGCCAGAATAAGAATATCCCAGTACATTCTTCATAGCACTGAACAGTTGTTTGTTAAATCCCACATGGCTGATGACACACTTCACTGGCAGTCATGTTTGCTGGACTGACCTCCTGATCTTTCTCCCCTCTTCAGTCAGAAATACCTTTCTTCCCAGCATTTCAAGATGACTTGAAAGTCTGAGGTCCTGTACAGTAACTATAGATCCTATTTAATCTAGTATTGTGTCAACTCTAAGAGACTATAACACAAATAAATATGATAAACTTCAATCTGTCTGTCATGTCAATTGGTTCAGGGTACTTCCAGGGGTAAGAACATTTATGTTAAACATTATCACACCTCCTCATTTTAAGACAAAATTGATCATGCAAGATTACTCAATTATATTCTAAGCATCTTATACTCACTATCATTCCACAACATTGGTTATCTCTCACACATATGTCATAGTAGATATCTAGACTTATTTGTACCAGTATGAAATATCCCTTTACAACATAACTGAGCAATAAAAATAAGTATTTAATACAGCAAATGAAGTATTGCTCCTACAACAACAAAAAAATGCAAATTTACCAAAATTGCAATTCAAGGGGCTGGCTAGCGGATAGCAATGGTGAATGAGCACTTCTTATTCCAATGGATCTCTACAGGTCATATGCATGAGGCAAGTTAGTCCTTTTCAGCCCTATCATTTGGCTGATACATCATTTCTGGACTGTCCTAAAAGACGTTAATAAAAATACAATTAAAATGGAATTAATAAAAATACTGGGATTTCTCAAATCACCAACTTGCAGCAATAACATTTAATTTTTTATTATTTTAGGCTTGGAGATAGATCCCCCTTATTGAATACGTGATTTTTCCTACAAAGTTGTGACAGGGCTAAATGATAACACATACACTTCCACTGTGTTTTCCCATTGTTTGGGTTAATAAAATAAATCTGTGTTACTGATTCCAGTCTTCCTTTCCTGGAAAGCAAATGGTGTTGTCCCAAAATGTGACACGTCGTCTTCCTCTTACAGACTCTTGTTTCCATTTCAAGAAGGCAATGTCTTTGTGTGACACAAGTGACATTTCCCCCTTTTGATTAATAAATTTAGCTTTTCCATTTATATTATGTTTTCTAACTTGATGAGATTCACAATGAACTACAGAAAAAAAAACAAAGATGCACTTGCATTTTCTGTATAATGTTACTTTTTCAGAGGGCTTCATTTATTTATAACACACTAGTAGATTGTTGCAAATGGTATTTATTGATGTGCTTAGTATTTAATATTATCCAATGACAATTACAGCTGGTTTAATGTGCTTGAGGACTGTTTACAAAATGGTCTTAAAATCCTATTACTAAATAGCTTCTTCATGAGCTGTCAAACACAAAATCTGTCTCTCTGTTGATATTTTACTAAATGTCTGCAATAGGTTCTTTAATGGCTTGTGGTATTTTCTGAAAAAGACTCCTGCTTCTTTGATTTGGCAGGGTAAAGTTATGTAATTGATATGGCAAATTGTTTATTAAGTTTTTTATAAGAACATAGTGGGAACTTTAGAACCCCCTGGGTAGCATTCATTGCCCTTGAGAACTACAAGATAATACATCTCTGTCAACAACTACTGAGAGATAGTAAAGTAATTTGACACTATCAGTGCTTTAACAAAGTGTAAGGGTCCAATATTAAGTTGAACTTAGTGATTAAATTTTAGCATGCACTGTACCAACAAATGCACTACATTGGTTGACACAATTCTAGATTTATTGCAGGTGATAAACAGATGAACCAGTGATAGTTCATATTTGGTCAGTCTCATATTACTTTTGGCCCCATGAGTGGGCTGTTTTATTGAAAAAGACAATTTGGTCAGAATCTTTTTTTAGATCTCTTTCACTTTTATATCAGTTTATCTTGCCATTAGTCTCTTTAAGAACAAAGAACAAAAATTTTGTAGGGTTATTCGTGGTCAGGGGATAAAAATGCTATTTTTAAGATAGAGCCGAAAGTTTTGAAAGAAACTTTGCCTCCGTAATTTCATATTGGCCTGTAGTATTGTAAATTCTATATTGGCCTATTGGCCTATAATATTGGGTCAATGTGACCAATAAATTATGTTGGTTCAATGAACCAACTAATGCCCCTGCATCCTACTTAAGCAATCAAAAATGAAGTATACTGTACCTCTGTTTCAGAGTTACTAAGTGTATCTTAGAAACATACACTTTCCCAGCCCTGTCATTTCTAGCAGCCATATCACTCTGCAACTCATAACTGGCAACCAACTGAAGCTAAGCAGGTGTGAGCCTGGTCAGAACCTGGATAGGAGACTCCTGGGAAAATCTAAGGTTGCTGCTGGTAGAAGTGTTAGTGGGGCCAGCAGGGGGAGCTCACCCTGCGGTTCATGTGGGTCCTAATGCCCCAGTATAGTGACGGGGACACTATACTGTAAACAGGCGCCGTCCTTCAGATGAGACATAAAACCGAGGTCCTGACTCTTTGTGGTAATTAAAAATCCCAGGGCATTCCTCAAAAAGAGTAGGGGTGTTACACCAGCGTCCTGGCCAAATTTCCCCCTGGCCTTTACCCACCATGGCCTCCTAATAATCCTTATCTAAAATTGGCTTTGTTACTCGCCTCTCCTCCCCACTGAGAGCTGATGTGTGGTGAGCGTTCTGGTACACTATGGCTGCTGTCACAGTGGTGGTGGTGTAAGGCACTTTGAGTGAAGTTTCCAGAAAAGCGCTATATAAGTGTAAGCAATTATTATTATTATGATGATTATTATTATTATGGTTGACAATTGTGTACTGCCACTTGCAGAATCACTGTCAACCAGATGAAAGACATAGACTTGAGAAGTGTGGTCATAGAGCTCAACATCTATGTGGAGTGTACATGAACCTTTACAGTTTGAGCCACTTGGGAGGCCCTTTGAACCATAATGTACATCATTATTTAGTATTATCTGCATATATTTCTGCATACATACCAAGCTTTTCATGGTTTGAGAATGTTAGAAAAATGTCATGTTCACAAAATAGATGTATGTACTGACAAGACCATATATTCTAATTCTATTATCAAATAATAATTATTTTAATACAACTAAAATATAATCACCTTTATAATATATGAGCTATAAAATATAATGACCTTTAACCACAGTGTTGTTTTTGTCAGATGTTTCTAACATATATTCCTAAGCTTGTTTTAAATTAATTGCAGTTTAATCTCTTGTGCTCTTCCACATCATTTGGTCTGTTTAATTATATCCAGGGATCTACACTTTTGTTTTTTGGTTATTACAATAAATTGTCTGCTAATTACATGTAAAAGTATAAAACTTTCTGTCGAGACAATGTATGAGTTTAATAAACCTTCATGCTAATAAAAAGTGTCTGGCAGAGCATGTAGTAATATCAACACAGCTTGCAGCTAATTGTTTTTAACCACTGTGTTGTGTGCACCAGTTGCAGCAAGCTGTACATTTTGCTATTGGATCTAATAAGCTTTCTGGCTGGAGGCTAGAGAATTATTATAACTTAATAAAAACAAATGTGAACGCATTCACTTTGTGAATGCAGGGTGCAAAGATCCAGTTGCCATGGAAATATGAGAGACTGCCCAAATCAACTGTAAATGGTAACAGTTTATTACGCCTTCACTGGCTTATGGGATGTTTGATGCTGTTAGCAGTTTGACAATTATCTTACGATGTTTGTTTTCAGACCTTGACAATTGTCATGACCCATAGAAGATAGGGTCAACACATGCAGTGCTTATCTGGTTGTTTATTAAAGCATTTATGTAAATTAAAATCCCAAGAATATTATTTGTATCATGATTGTTTATTTTTTTATGTGCTGTTCAAAGTACTTGAGCTGAAAATATTTGAATATTTGTATTTTGTTTCTAGTCACAAATGTGGTATTTTATTTCACTTACAAAATAAAATGGTAAAAACTCCAAAATGTTTAAGAGCTGGGAAAGAACTACAATTCAAATCTTGTTACTAAATCCATGTAGGTTTCAGCTAGAACTAAAAACTACAGCTGTGTGTCTCCAGGACCAGAATTGGGAATCACTGTTTTATATCTGTAACTTTTCCATGCACTTGGCCTGAAACCCTGCCTGGGGCTGACTTTGAATTGTCATTGTACCTTGAGATTACATAATGCTACTTAAAGCACCAAATTAGTTTTTCCATTGTTAGTGTTTGTTTGTTTTAAGTCTTTTTTCATCAACTTCATCTACATGTTGTATACCCTAGCATAAATTCTGAATTAATCAGTAAACAGTTTTATTTAGTCTTCCTGTTACTACAAAGTGGTAATAAAAAGTGGATTTGTGAGACTGGTTATTAAATCATGGTAGCTAATTGAAGTAATTGTCATTATAGAAAAATGTTACATTTCAAAATTAAGTACAAGTTATGAACTTTGTGAAAAGTAATGTAAGTTACCATGTTGTCGCAATCTCGCATTCGAGTTCCCATGAATTGCGTCCTGATGCGGCCCTTCCTGTTCACTAGTCTCTGTAATGACTAATACAATGTAAGAGCGGATAAGTACAGGTTGTGCAGCACATATTTCAACTTAGAGATGTTCCAAAGTGTACATGCAGAGATAATCGAGAGCAATATTTCTGTTGGATTACAAGAGATGTATGCACAAGCCTGCTTGTTTACAAATGTAATAAGGTCGCATAACCTCACTGGAGGTTTTGTTGCCTTGTTCTGAATTGCAGAATACAGTATGGCGATGCGCATACTATTTTGTGATGCAAATTGGAAGTCTTACAAGTTACTATGTACAGTACATTTAACTCTTATTGTGGTTTGAAATGCACTCATTAATGTTGACTCTTTCAAACCCCTAAATATAAAAATAGTGTTGCAGTTCCCATTAAATTACAGAATAAAGTTACAGATGCTGTAACATCTTGTAGTATAATCTTGTAAACTTTGAAAAGGTAAGCCAAGCTGGCCCTTGTCAGCACTGGTATGGGAGACCTCTATAGCATATGAAGTTGCTGTCATGTATTCTGACGCTGAAAAATCCAATCCTAGAGAACCTTGATCCAGGAAAATGGTAGCATATAATGTAACGTTAGATGTCCCTTCAATCAATAGCCGCTGAAAATAAAATTAGCAATTCTAAGGAATAGTCCTGTCTCAATTTACTGATGAAAATCCCCACTTCCTCCAACTCACATTGTAAATAACATCATTTTCATGTTCTTGACTTTCTGTCCTTTTTAATAAATGTTGATGTCTCAAAGATGTCAATCTCAGGCTTTTCGATTCTGAATGTTAAATTGGGGTATTGCACTGCAGTCTTAGGATAAATTGCAGGTTGAGAAAAATGAGTTATATCCATCCATTTGCAGTGAATATTATTGCTCACAGTTACTGATGCATCGATTGGTTTAATGACCATAATCGCTTCATGTAATTAAGGGATGTTTTCTAATGAGACAGTTTAAATCACTGATGCTTGTTTTTTAGATTAGTGGATCATGAGCAGCTATTTAAACAAGATACATTTTGAAAAACACACAGCCATAGTTTCAGTGTATATAGTTACACATCATTGATCAAGTTTGATTATAAATACTTATGCAAGATATTAACAGTAAATGATGCAATATAGAAATAATCACTCATATACAGTACACAAAATCTGATTTGTTTATAAATACATTATTAATCATGTATAATTACATTATCATAATCAGATAACACCAGGTTTAAAATTAATTTTACTATGATATTTCAAACTATATTTATTATAATTGGAATTCATAATGGCTAATCTAAAAATAATTTGTAAGTATTTATTACAGAAGTAACTTGAAAGGCATCGGAATATCAAAAAAAAAATCCAATAATTTTCTAATAATTTTATTTTAGTTTTACCTAGTATCTTTTACATTTTTCACTGTGCAAATTTATTAAACATATTTCATATTTCATTAATTGTATGAAAGAACGAGTAGCCTGTACATTATTGATACTGTACAACACTGATGTAAACTACTTAACAAATAGACCACAATGCAGCAGTTCAGATTTTGTTTTCCCAAATCCTGCCTTGAAATAGTAATACAGCTCTTAAGGGAAATGGGTTTCTAAAGCCTACTTAAGATCAAATGGTACCTGTGTGTTAAATGATACTGATATCTTGCTGTCATGATGCCAACAGATATAACACAGTGCCTTGCCTTGTGCATCTCTTCATTTAATTTTTAGTGAAATATTCCTAATGACTCCACTCAAGATCTCCTAACTATGCCTTATGCAAGTAAGCTACCTGTAATTAATTTTGCCAGTAAGCTGGCTAATCAAATTTACTCAGTTTAGTACTCAATTAAATAATTAGTGAACAGTGCATATAAAACATGCAGCAGAGAGGAATAGACAGGGAATGTGTTCATTATAATTGCAAAAAAGAAGAAAAGCTAAAGAAATTCTGCTTTGTTGATCTGAGTATAAAGCTATGACTATGAATATATTAAATATTTACCTGTCAGCGATGTCTGTAATGATTTGCTCTGAATATTAATATGAATGTTATTGTGCATAAAGAAGAATATATTCAAATATTACTTTGTACATGTATGTATTACTTCATAAATGAAAGAAAAAACAAATACAAACAACATCTTTCTAAAACAATTTGAATCTATGGATGCTGACTATACTTATCTATCCTATGTGTATCTGGCAGGGAATCAATGTTCTTGAAATCTGCATGAGACTGTAAAACATATTTGTACCATCAAAAGGATATAAAGATTCTATTTTAGTCTATTTTATTTTTCCTTTTGGCAAGTTGGCGAATTAGTGGACATAAAAATAACATAATAGTGGTTCATGTTACTGTAGGTTTAATAAGAAATAACATTATTTGTTTGTTTTTTTGTTGGCATCTGTTTGCAGTATGAAACCCAGAAGAGGAAACCTGGCCCACAAGTACTGGATGGGAACAGGCAACCTAGCCAAGTGCAAGCCCTGTCCTGTGATCCACCCTAGCCCTGTCTGCGGCTTAGACGGACACACATATTCTTCTAAGGTAAATACCAATGAGCTGCTGAAGACAGTACATTGGAAATAAGTTTTTACTTAAAGCATTTGACATTTGCAAGTTTCCAGTGGTCTGAATACCCCATTTTCTCACTGTTCGGAGGACTTCACAAAGACAAATATTTGGTTGCATTCTCTTGGGGATTTCCTTGGGCACAAATAAAAATACATGAAATGCAGTTTAGATTTAATATTTCCTAGTATCCTGCATGGAAAACAAGTGCTTGTTGGTGCTGTAGTATCTACCAGGAACTGAAAAACATCAGGACTTCAAATAATGTATGAATCCAAGAATACTTTGACTTATTTTATAAGTGAAATGAACTCATCATCCCTTACCGTATGTTTTTATATATTCATTTTTAAACAGTCTTACATAATACTCTTTTTTGGGATGTGCAATTACAGTATAAAACTTTAATTAATCTCCTGAGATTTGGCCTGGCTTTTCATGCAAAAGAGTTGAACCGGTGTTTTGTATTGATCTGGTTTCAGTAATGTGTCTCATGATCCTAAAAACCATTAGCTGTGAAAGACAAGTGACAGGATCATCCATTGTTTTTGTTTTCCTTCGGAATATCTTATTTGAAGAGCGGAGAATTCATGTTCTTTCCAAACAGATACTGTCGCAGTGGCTGTGTAAGAGTTAAGTCAACCTTGCACTTCTCTGATGTGCATTGTATCTCATTCCCTGCAACAGCATTAAAAAATACTGTGCAGCCAATGACCACACCATCTATGATGGATAGTGGTTGCAATGAACTTTGACCAGGATTACTATTGGATTCTGGTGTTTTGTGCTTCAGGACATCTGAAAAGTACTCCAGCTGGGTCAATTACCCATGGTTTGCTGAGAGCATACCCTATCAAGTGCCCACTTTGATTTAAAACCTGGGAAAACATGCACTTTAATGACTGAATAAGTTTTCAATAACATTCTCTCTGTAATCTCAAAAACCTTATAAAGCAGAAATTATTTGTGCCACTTTGGACTGGTTTCAGAAATTCACTTATGCCTCTTTTTTGTGGGTTTGCTAGCAGTTTTCTGATTGGTATCTCGTATTTGTTCATTTTTTTTTCCATTTTGAACTCTGGATCACAGCGCCAGTCTCTGCACCGTATTTACTTTTTTTTATATTTATCATTTCCTTTTACGGTCTATTTGTGTAGACCTCTACTCTCTTTATTTGAAATGAAATTGATTTGTTCAACTGTAATGAAATTTTGTTTTTAAGACATAATATGAGAATATTTCCTGTTCCGAAAATCTTCTATAGTATGTCTACTCGTACTGTCATCTAGTATTTTATATGAAAACAAATTTGATGAGATTGGCGATTTGATCATTTATACTGTTCATAGTTATTAATTGTCAAAGACAGTATCAGTATTTTTCAGTGTCCTTTCAAGGTTTATGAGAAAATAATATGAACAGAAGCTATGAACAGTATGACTTCCATTAAAATGTCAACAGTACAAAATATTTACTACTGTAAGTTTATTAACATTTTTGATTATAGAAAACTGCCATTCTCAACCTACAATACCGGGTGGTACCTTGCTGTCTTATATAGATTTTCAAAACTTTTTAATTTCCTAGATTTGTATCATGAGGCAACTACTCTACCCCTTGCTTCGACTCACTGTCAGATTTTGGTGTTCGTATTTTACTCCAAAATGTGCAAAAAGAGGGGTAAATGCTAATTGAATTATGTTATTATATTCTATTGTTAAACCACGTGATTGATGGAGTGAGTCAAGCGACCATCACTTCAATACTTCCAGTTTCTAGAACAGCCGCTAGATAGCGTATGGCTATTGATTTGGAGCACCTAGAGTTGATCGCAAGCATGTTGGTTCAGCTCGTTTTTCGTCACTAGTGTTTCCCTCCAGCACTGCTTCAGCTGCAGGTTATGTCCTTTGCCAACTGGAGAATATGAAACATAAAGTGTGGACTTTATCTGAAAGAGAGGTCTTCCTTTACTTCATGTGCTGAAGTTTATTAATGGAACCAGACATTATACTAGTGAATGCAGTGATTGGGAGCATGAGAAAATTAATTTCATAACTATTAACCTCATTAGGCCTGCTGGTTTCATTTCAGTGCTCCAAGATATTAGAAAAGCACAATGTATGTTCACTGTAATCAAGAAATGCTTCTGTGCCCTTTAAAATGTTTTAGGCAGATGGTGCAAAAATGATTTGTGAAGTGTGTGGGCATTTCTTAATGCCAACCTGTATTGTAGTAAAATGAAAGCCACTAATTAAATCTTAGTCTTAGTGAGATCTAGTATTTAAAACACTGCTTTACACTAGGTTTATTTATGTAATTAACAACGACTGATTGTGTCACGCATTCTAATCCTGTTTTATTGTTCATTTAGAACAGTTGCTCCCTCCAGTTTGTATACAGGTTTACTTTGTCATTTGAGCTAGGTCTTTTGCTTGCAGGTTTCTCTATTATAAGCTCCAGTCTTGTACAGTAGCTCTCCCCTGTCATTTCCCAGAGGCCATTTAGACAGGAACAAAATCTTACCTTTAAGTGCTTGAATGATATTTGTTAAAGATAGGAAAGCTTAAAACAATCTTTATTGACTAATGGTAAGATTTACAAAGCAATACTAAGAGTTACAAAAAAATGTTTTATAAGTGTTCTAGAATTAGAAATACAGTAATTAGCTTTTTTTAAGGAGGACCTCTGATTACCTGCCTACATTTTGTTATAATAATAACAATAATAATTGCTTAGACTTATATAGCGCTTTACTGGACACTCCACTCAAAGTGCTCTACAGGTAATGGGGACTCCCCTCCGCCACCACCAATGTGCAGCATCCACTTGGATGATGCGACGGCAGCCATAGTGCACCGGAATGCTCACCACACATCAGCTATCAGTGGGGAGAAAAGCAGAGTAATGAAGCCAGTTCATAGATGGGGATTATTAGGAGGCCATGATTGGTAAGGGCCAATGGGAAATTTGGCCAGGATGCTGGGGTTACACCCCTACTCTTTTCGAGAAACGCCCTGGGATTTTTAATGACCTCAGCTTTACATCTCATCCGAAGGATGGAGCCCGTTTATGGTATAGTGTCCCTGTCACTATACCGGGGCATTAGGACCCACGTGGGCCACAGGGTGAGCACTCCCCTGCTGGCCCCACTAACACCTCTTCCAGCAGCAACCTTAGTTTTTCCCAGGAGGTCTCCTATCCAGGTACTGACCAGTACCTGCTTAGCTTCACTGGGTTGCTTCACTGGGTTGCAAGTTGTGAGTTGCAGGGTGATATGGCTGCTGGCTATGAAACATGTTAGGAAACATAAAAGTATACTTAATTATATTTAAAAGAAAACCACAGTACAACATGTACTGTAAGAGTGAGAAAAAAAGGGAGAAGAAAAACATTTATGGCCTTTACAATATATTCAATTTACCACTTCCAGTCTGTTTTCCTAAAGTCAGTAGTCTTGAATGTTTTCTCTTTCGGAAGATACTGTATGTCTGCTGCGTGTTCCAATCAACTGTCTGTGCTACTGTGCTCAATAACCTTTTCAGTGCCAAAATAACTGTGAAACATGTAACTTTAAAGGAGACCCATTTTTAAAGTAAAGGGCACATGCTCTTCTGTGTGCTTTATGTTGTTAAGCTTATTAGATTTAGCTGATCACTGATGAAATTGACAAAGACTTTGCAGATTGTGTATAGTAAGACTAAGGAGCTTTCTCTTGTTACAGAGGTTTTTGCACAGTACATTTTTCTGATTTTGCTTGTATAATTGATTTGTTTTAAATAGTTTTGAATTTGATTTCTCCCAGCTGGCTTTCTGTAGCCATGATATCTGAAATTTACAGTAAGTCTCTCTCATGTGTTTTTTTTCAAACAGATCAGGTACACAAGAGGCCTGCCCTGGGTTAATGAACTCAAATTGAATTGAATTAGAAGCCTCTTATGTATTTTGTGGTGATTTATATGTTGAAAGAGAAATTTGATTTAAATAGATTTATACCTCCAGGTGTCAGTTCATTGTAGTACTATTATTAGTTCTTTAAGAGGAGTTATCATATTAATCAAAGGATTTATGAAACTTCTGTAGTGTGTAGTTTAGAACAAAAATGGAATTGTGCTTCATTTAGTTAAATCAAAACAAGCTTTAAAAGGTAATTACTGATATAGAAATGTGCTAATGAGACAGCTACTTAATATACAAAGAACCTGATTATCCCAACTTTTGCTGAATTCTGAATTCGTTGTTAATGCTTAGCAATGTACTTTAAAATTAAATCTGCTTTTGCGTTTATTTATACTTTGTGTTATTTTATCTTACCATCTTAATTTAAGTCATTGTGAAAGGACTGACAGGGGGTATACACAGATTCATAGCCCCCTAGGTTATTTATCGTGCCATTGGATATAAAATCAGTGTTGTTCCTAGAATGAAAGAAAGCATATGTTAAAATCCAAAACAATATTTGAATTAAAATAATAATACATTTAATTGTGTCATCTCTCTTTTTGAATCAAAATTGAACATTGAAATGAATATTGCTGCAAATGCTAAGAAAGCACTCAGCTTGCAGAGACAGCACATTTATGAACAATCCTTTCCTTGATATCTTTCACCTTTAGAAAAGTGACAAGCCAGATTTAAAGTGGTATAGCTGAAAACACAAAGCAGTTGAAAAATAGATCAAAGATTATGTGTAAATGTCAGCATCTATTTACCATTTATCCAATATGCATGACTTTTTATTTCACGTTTGTATTTGAAAATGGAATCAAACTACACAAGAGCAGCACAATTTCATGTCTTGGAATGCAATAAACAAAACTGTCCCTGAGGATACAGTTTAATTTAAGGAGATGATATTGTTATTAATCTGTGGAGGGGTGAAAAACATTATAATTGCAGAGAACTAAAGCTTTGGGGCTCTTCCCCAGGCTAGACTGGTTCACTGTACCCAACCTACTTTTCTTGAAAGAACGTAAGTGAACAGACTCAAATAGTGCTTGAGTGCATTCAGCCAATTAAAAAGCAGCTACAGTACATAGATGGAATTTCTGGGTTGATGTTTTAGTTATAAGTAGGCCACAATCGTCCTTGAGTAGGATTTTGTTTTGTGACTCGACCACATCCTCAGACGATTTGAATAAGGATAGAGATCCTGCATTGCCGTTTAACTATCAAGAAATTGATAAGAATCTAAACTTTTGAATGTCAGCCCACTGCTATTTAACTTTGCATTTATAGAGAACGTAGTTAAAATATGAAAAAAAAATATTTGCAAATCACAGTATGATCAGACTTTTTCATGCCAAATGTCACCCAACTGTCTAGTTTTTATATTATTTTGGTTTGGGATCCTTTTTTGGTACTGTATGCAGTCACATGTCAGATTGTGGTCAGTGTTGACCTGCCACCTATGGACTAGATTGCAGTACTGTAGTTCATTTGAGTTCTGAAAAAGTTATTCTTCCATTGCTGATGAAATTTGCTTGAACTCAGATTGAGGACCAAACGTCCAGTTTTATTTAATGTCTAAGACTTGTGACTCATTAGCCAAAGCTCTTTCCTATAAGAGATCTGCAAAATGTCTTACTCGGGTGTAAATTTCATCTATATTTCTCATTCTGTTCCAGTTTGGTTTTTATTTTGTCAAATTAAGTTTGAAATTATATGAGATAACTTTCATGACATGACCTGAGTGAAATGTACATACCTATAATAATGTCAGCTAATTACAGAAGCACCCTTTCAAAACTAAGACATTCATACATAAGACATTCATACACTCCAGGAATAGCTTGGTTTGTTCTTTACTGAAATTCAGATATTTGCAATATTACGTATTTAATAAATACGTACATTTATTAAAAGATCTTGTAATTAACTGGAGTTATTTAGTGAAGTTAGTGTTCTTCTCTTAATGTTACAAGTTAAAGATTTCTTAACACATTTTAAACATACAGTATATATCTTACATGTTATGTTAACTGCAATAAATGCCAATGAAAGGGTAGAAATTTTAACAAGCATGAAAATAAAAAAGTAGATTGTCTATCATCAAAATATTAAGAAACCAAATCATGCAATAAAGAGTGAAGATAATTCTAAACTTCAATACTTGTTTTAACAAAATGTCAACATGCTAGATTGTTTGTTATGGCTGTTGATGTCAACATATTCATCTATTGCCTTATTATCATTATTTCTAATTATGGTCCTAAAAAGTTGGGCATTGCAGAATTTCATTTTGTTTACTTTTTTATTAACAAATTTTTGTAAATATTTACACTGATCAAAATGATTTTACATCCAGTTGTCCAAAAATGGTGCTGAATGATTTGGAATGGGGTCTGTGTTTTCATTTTTGTGTTTTCATGCTGACATACAGAATACGGGAAAGGGAAAGGCTGGAGGGAAAGGCTGGAGCAGGGTTCGAAATCATGATAAAGCAGATTTTATAGAATCATAAAAATTAAAGTAGGTCTTGTATATGTTGGAAAACAAAATACTGTATATATGTCTGCAAGCAACACTGAATGGTCAAACAACAAACACGCATTCTGCCTTGGTATTTAAGCTAACAAAGGCCATCATTGTCTTTGTACTTTCTACCCAAAAGCGGAGATGATTACATAAAATATTTACATAAATAAATTAGTTTTTCCTGTGAAATATTGGAGCTGAGGCACATTTTGAGAATGTTAATCTGATATTTCATTAATTCACATCATGTATATGCAGGAATGGAATAAAACGAGATTTTAATCGTCCTCCTTCACACAATGTATTAACATTATGTTTCAGGGGATGGTATTTTGTATATTGGAAAGGAAATTGGACCTCAGGATTTCAATCTTGTGATGACAGCCAATGAATTAACATCATGTAAATGGAATAAGACAGAATTTAGATGATGAGAGGGGAAATATAATGTGATAGATGTTATCCCTCTGCCTCTTTGCAGTGGCTTGATAACGCATGTGTGAAGAGGAAATTTAGACTGTGAAAAGGGGGATTTAGTCTAATGGTCTTTTGTTAAGGAATTATTTACAAAGCATAATACAGCGATAATGTTGTACCTTGGGAGGAATTTTAATCCCAACAGTGAGAGAACAACCTCTTTTCAAGTCTTGTCTGCTGGAGAAGCTGTTTTTAAAACTCAGAGCTGTTGTAGTTGAGCCCATACTATCACGGATCATCAGGCAGTTTTTTCAATTTGCATTTGTGTTTTCTTTTTTCCCTTTACTTATATCCGATAGAGGGAGACTATTTGAGGAAAAATAAAAGATACGTACAATCCAATTGCAATGTATTGAGGCATGACATCCTACAACACCTTTTTATTCATGTGCTGTTAACTCTGGAAAGCATGGAGAGGTCCAAGAGTCTGCATGATGCCCTGAGGTGTTATTAAGAAGTGGGGAAAATGCCTTAGCTCAAGAATGGCGTGTGTACAACCATTGACACTTGCTGCGTGTTCACTTGGGTTAAAATTCCTGTTTTGTTTCAAATAACACTATAATCAAGACTGCCTCTTTTTGCTATAAAAAAAACGTTCACTTCATTATTTAAGCTGTTGCCAAACCTAAACTTCCTAGATCAGTATATCTTATCTAATAGCGTTATATTGTTCTCTATCACCAGATATGGTCCTTTCAAAATATCAGATTTTCCTCTGAATTCGTTATTTTTTCTTTTATCATTGTGGACGTGTGGACAGAGAATTTTTAAGTCGTCAATATTATAAATGTGTAGTGGGGTCCACAAGTTCTGATCAGGTGGATTGTTCGGTTGTGGTCCTTGCTACAGATGCTGTTTTTGTCGGACTAATGTGCTTTACCTTGATTACTCCCGTCCACCCAGCTGTATAACATGCTGGGGCTCTGTCGTGGACTGGCATCCTTCCAGAGAAGGGAGTCATATGCTCCCCTTTCACTTTAATGCCATGCAAACCAGCGAAAAGCTCTGGACCAATGGGGCAGTTGTGCCTTGAATCCAGAACTACCTATGCTTAATACAGATTTATCGAAAACATACAAGCATCATAGATTTAAACATGCTATTGTTATTGGTATTCACTTACTAGTGAAAGGGAATAGACCTTGATCTCCTACCAGAAGGACATCCTGGTTTTGTTTGTTTGGGGTTTAGGTGCCACAATCAATCTCTTGCTTATAGTTGTCAAGCTTGAACACATTACTTATGAAAATTTAAAAAGCTGATAAATTAGCTTCCTGTGCCTACTTTAATCTATCATATATTATATTTAGTTTATTTAACACTTAAATGACACAATATATCTAAGGGGTCTTATTATCATAAGAAAGTACAATGCACTCTAAATACAGTATATTACATATAGATATGTTGAATATCATGTAAAAGCACTGTAGAATTCAGTAGTTTGTATAATTTTGCATATTCAGTTGTTTGTATAATGTTACATTATTGTAGTACAGTGGAAAAACACAGAAAATATGCTGAAGAGAATGAGAGAACAATATGTGTGGAATTGGAAGGAAGAGAGCCAGAATCAGGCATGTTGTTTTGATTTTTGTATCGTTTTCTAAATTCTTCACCTCAGATAAAGACAGTTCCTGACATTTCTTTTACAATTAGATACGCCATTACTCATTCTTCAGTGTTTTGAACCAGCCTTGTCAGCATTTGATCTTTTTCTGTTTATTTTGTTAAGTTATTTGATGTCTGCTTATATCCCACAGAATTGCCTCTGGTAATTAATTTCTAGGTTTCTAATTACATTTATGATTGTTTTTGGCCTGTGGATAATTATTGCGCTAGCAACTGCCTCTGTTTTTTTCTCTATGAATTTTCTTCCTACAGATTTGTTTCATAATGAAAATACAACAAAAGGTATAGTTGCTAGCGGTATTGCAACAGACCGCTTTTTACTCAAATAGCAGTGCTAGCAAATTGAATTTTTTGTTGTGGGATTCTTTGGATGACTAATGCAATATGTGGAAAGCAGAGCTGCAATGCCTTTCTCCTGCAAATTTAATTAGGAGATATTAACACAAGAATCTAAGAGCTGTCAAACTGAAAATGATGGATTTAATAGTGGATTCTCAGAAACAGCAAATTCAATATGTCAGAGTAAATTCTAAAATTACTAAGTCAACAAATCTAAAGCAGAAGATTCTATTAAAGACTGTAAAGAAAGGAAGAATTTTGCAGCCATCAATTTGGAAGCAGCACTTTTACTCTCAAAGGTGTCATTTGTTGCATTATCGTTTTCTGTTTTTTTAGCCAAATGACTGATTTTGCCAGCCATTCTGCTGTAGGCCGATTAAGGAAGGACAGGTGGCATTAAGCTGCTGTTTCAATTAAGACATTTGCAAAAGACAAAGTGGAGAAAATAAGAAATGTCTGAAATGAAAGTTACACCCATAGTGACATGGATTGCTAGAGAGGGAAATGTCAAATTAGCAAACAGTGATTGATCATAAAATAAAGTCTGCTCTTGATCATTATTTTCTTTAGGACTGTGATTATAGCAGGAAGTAGGAATGATTCCTGAAGCGTAGTTGCAAACAAATCTGTGAAAAATGTGTTCTTTCAAACTTGGTGTGATTTTTCTGTCACATCTTCCTATTTCTTTTGTTCTCCTTTGCTTACTTCACTGTGCAGTGCAAACTGGAATTCCAGGCTTGCTCTACAGGGAAGACCATCTCACTGAAGTGTGAGGGACCCTGCCCCTGCCTTCCAGGCCAGGAGGTAATCAAACCAAGAAATGACAAAAACGGTAAGTTTGGTTTCCTTACTTTGGCTGTTTTTCTGTCTTTGAGCTAAAAGACAATACACTATTTGCGTTGATCCTCTGAAAGTCTTCATCTGAAAGAACCTGGCCCAATGTGGGTTAAATTCCCCTGTTTTAGGTTCTACGGTATTATTATTATTATTATATAGAATATATATATATAATTTGGAAAGGCAAAGACAAAGCCGCAACATGCAAAACGAAATAGTACCGTAAGTGTCTGGACAGCATGGATACCAAGCAGCTATGAGGGCAGCCTGGTTTCATGCACTCAATGTCTGCATTGAACTGGAGCATCAAGCAAACCAAGCTGGGAGCCGAAATAACCACAGCAGATGTCGAAACAGATGAATCTAAAGCACGCGCCATAATGCAGCCAGCATTTCATCGGCTTTGATTTCTGAAGGTAGTAAATTCCACCATTGAAGAAGAAGTGTGGAGAATGTATGGGCTCTGAAAGTGGGGGAATTAAGAGGGGGATTGTGAATCTCTGGCAGAAAAAAAGAGGAACTTAAAGAGCAGTAGAGGTTGTAGCGAGCAATAAGTGACTGAAGATACTGTACATAAGAGCTGAGTTGCTGAGAGAGCAGTAAGCATGGACTGGGGTTATGAATGGGAGCCCATTGAGCCACTTCAGTAAGGAAAAAAAAAACAAAACACAGAACTTTGGTTTTGTAATGGACAGAGCTTTGGCAGGAGAAAAAAAAAACTAGGCCTGACATTTTGCAATTAGTTCATACACATTTGCCCATGCAAAATAAAAAGGTAATTATTTGATAGTTATCATTTTACATAAAAGGTGAATACCAACTTCTGATCAGACTGAAAAGGCAATTAGAAACTGTCAAAATAGGCAAAAACTGTCATTAATAGATACGTGTTTTGGTATGGTATTTGGTGTCCTGCAAAACCCAAACACTGAAAATGACCAGTCCAAGTTATCATACTGTACAATTACAGCTATTTATTAAGAGAAAATAAATATACAGCCATTGGTAAGAGATTGTTTGGTTTTCTGATAGATTTGAATAAAGCAGGGTTCTTATTGCAGTGGGGCAGTCAGACTTGATATTGTATTTTATCAGGAGGCATGTACCAGGTAAAATTCCTGTAGTGAAAATAAATGGTTTTTATGGAAGATCAGATGATGCAAGGTTTGCAAGACAGCTAGTGATATTATCATTGTATGAACCGTGCAGTATGATTTATTTTCCTGTTCCTGGTTCTTTCCTGGTGTCAGTGATATAATATACAGACAAAGCAGTCCTAGGCGACTCAGTAGAAACTTTAATGACGCATTACATTTGTTATTATTATAAAAATGCTGCCATTAGCTGCTCGTTCTGGGACATCAAAAGACACTAAGGCCTGAGATTGCCAAATTAAAATCATGCATTGATATGAGTGATAGGAATAGAGGGCAGTGAAATTTCAGTATAAAGATACTGATTATTGGAGATAATGCAGTAGGCCTGTTTAAGCTGACATTTTCAATTGGGTCATAATGAGGTTCTTAAGCACTAATGTTTTGAGAATAGGATGACCCAATATTAATTACACTGACTGAGTATAAGCTGAATCTCTTCATTCAGTAGCATTGTACAGTATTTCCAATATACCATATGTAGAGAAAATTCAATAATAAGTTATTATTAACTTTATATTTCCATTATGAGACAATAAGAAATGGTATATCTAATTTACTAACAAGACTTATAATGAGGAATCTGTGCAAGTACTATAAACCTCTGTTGTTTTATGTCTAAATATAGATGTTCTTAAAAGTTGTATATCATTTTAAGATTTGTAGTGAAGACTCTTGCAAATGGTTTTTTTTTATTTTAAAGAAGTTGCATTTTGTTCTAAACAGTTGAAGTTGTACCTTTGAATATTATGTTTGAATTTAATTTAAATCATCTAAAATTAATATAAAGCAAAAAAAACATCTATTATATCTGAATTTGAATGGTGGAAAATCTGAATTTGAATGCTGACCCAAACAATGATGAATCTTATACGCAATGGCAAAGACAAATACTTACTGTCTCTTATAATTAAGCATCCTGATCTTCTTGAACTTCATTATTCTAAATAGAGCTTTGGTGATGGACGCTTCAGTGGCTCAACAGATATTTCCTGGATGAAGATCAAAGTTCACAAATGTAATTTTACTTTGGTAGCACTATTTTACATAATAATGGATCCGGAGAGCTCAACAAAAAATTAGTAACATTCTGCTAAACATAAAAAATGATAAACAGTATTAAATGTCTTAGCTCAGACAGACAACAGAATTGTGATGATAAAATTAGTCAGATGTAAAATTTGTTTCAGGGTGAAATTTATTCCTGCCTTCACATGCAGAGAATAATTGTGTGCCAAATATAGCCACTGGTTTTTCTTCAATGTAAAGATTTATTTGTCATTGTCTGCATATGGTAGAGGGCGCTCCTACTGTCTTGTTCCTAGTTTCCCTGTGCTTTGCTTGTCCTTCTGGTGTGTCTTTGTGTGGGGCTATATATTTCCGGGTCACCCTTTCCTCCTCGCTCAGCATTGAGGGATCGGATGTCCTGAGACCTGCCTAGCACCAGGTCGTCTCCTCCACGGCTTGAGGACATAGGTTTCTACCCGACATCGTCTGACCTCCTGAGCCTGGGCTAACACCCCTTTTGCCACAACACATAGGGTCTTTTTTGCTCTTCTGCCATTCCATGGCATGCCTCTCCGACATCCGTGACAGCATTAGGTTTAATTCCCATGTCTGGCTCCTTCTCCTCTTTCACTGCATATAACCCTTAAATAAGCTAGTGTTCATGACTTCTCTATTCAATGAATACAAATCCAGTTAACCCCAATTACGAATTGAAGTTTGTATTTATCAAATGATTTGACCTTGAGTATCCATTGAAAAGTACCAAGTCCACAGAGAAGATATTATTGAGATAGAATTTAAATAATGTAAAGATCACACAAGTAGTTTTTTTTCGTTAACTTTAAGGTTAAGCTTCTGGTTTTCAAATCAGTTTAGATCAAAAGACAATGAAGAAAAAGATATTAAAGGTCTCAAAGCAATCGTTACTCTCAAAATATTTTATGCTAAAGTAAGGTTTACCTTTTCATTGCATAATACTTTGTATAATACTAAATTTACAGCAGAAGGGTTATTATTCAAATCATTATTATTAAATTTTTCATTTCACAATTTTGAATTTTTTTTATTGTTTCACGACAGAAAAGTGGCAAATACTGTGCTCTGGAAACCTTTATTAATTTGTATGTGAAATGCAAAGATACAGTACTTCACAGTAATATAAACTTCGTTTTTCTTGTAACTGTGACCCGGTATAAACATTTTAAAACATGATGATTATTTTCTGCAAATGATTGATTTTACATTTGACCATTTAAGATGATCTCTCAAATCTTACTGCATGTGATAAGTAGGAGAATTGAACATTTCTTTTAATGGTACTGTATATCCACAGTTTAATTTTAAGTTTTAAGACTCAGTTCTCCAGAAGGCACTTCCTTTGAAATACACATGTGCAACACCATCAACTTTATTTTCACACTGAAGAGCTCACAGTGTACGCAATAGATGAGACATTGATTGAAAAAGTAATAAACTCCCAGTAGTGCCACTGCAAGCTCATTGGTACCTGACAAGTCACAGACAGAGTCTCTGTTGTGCAATGATCCAAAAATGCCCTGGCCAACTCAAACCTGCAATATCAGTTTAAGGAATCTCAGGCAAAATCACAAAGTGACTAAGACCACATTCAGATAGGGCCATAGGATTCTATTGCTGCTAGCAGAACCATTTTTGCTAAACAAGTTAAGACTTTACTGAGTTTTTTCATCCCTTCCTTGGACTTCAGCCTGGTACATAAACGTTAGAGCCTAATGTGAGATTTCACAGAACATTTAGCACCTAAATCATAATTACAAGCCAGTGCTGTTAACTGAAACAGAATGTTATTATTACTTTTTAGTATTTTAGTAATTGTTTTACCATGTTATAAAAGTGGTCCTTTAAGATGCACAGGTTTAGGCATATGCAATGGGAACATTTGTTTTACGATCACAAAGATAGCAGGAGAGATCTATTAACTGCTGAGCTGGTGAAATGCACGGCATTTGTACATTCAGGCCAGACAAACTGTTAAGCATAGCAAATTCACCAGCAGCATGGTATGTTTAAAGGATTTTTTAATTGGACACTGAAGGTTGCATTTTGTTTTTGTTTTTGCTAATGTTCCTTTTGGTGGTATTTCAGTCTGGAGAATTTCAATGAAACTTTAATTTACTAATAAAACACAAACATGTAGATTTACACATAAATTTATCTTAACTTGCCTTGCATATGCCAAATACCAGAATTATGAGAGTAAAACATTTCTTCTTTACTGTAAATTATTTAAATAATCTGGAAATTACACAAAGTAATGAGAACAACATTTTAGAAAGGTCAAACATTAGCCTTTCAAAGAATTCTGTAACAAATGTTTCAGATAATTGAATGCATAAGAGGGCAGCAAAAAACCTTTTATTTCAAAATGTCGTTAGCAGGCAATCTCCTGAAGAGGAAAGTCTCTGTTGATGTTACAAAATGAGTAATAAACAACAAAAGGGTACATTAGAGCTGCTGAATGAAATTGAAGTCTTGCAATATGAAAGACTGACTCTCAGGATAATAAAATGAAAAAAGGGGAACATTCTTTGTTGGAAAGAATAGAAATAAGCACTGCTGTGCTTGCGTAGCAAGGATTTAATGTTATTTTGTCTCTCTCCAACAGTTTCAACAAGAAAATCATCATAGATAAAAAAAAAACAAAAGCTTTAACCATTAAACTCTGGGTCCATTAAACCCAGTGACAGTTTTGTAAAATACATAGATTTTCTCTTGAGCGCCCTCCAATCCAAAATAAATATCCATTCCATGGGTAAAGCCTGTACTGTTCAGCTTATATATGTATCTGAAATCC